GTGAAACATTTCATATGAGTCCAAACCATATACATTTGAGAGTTGAGACACTTTGAAGTGATATAAATTTTTGCAGTTTTTATTTCCTCCAATGTGTAAGTAAAAATGTGGTTTTTTTGGGTGCCTCAATTTGTCTTCACTTATTATAGTATGCTGGTGCACAGTTTTAGACTATACATAGAGTACTCTTTCCGTCCCACAAAAAATATAAAAATTAACTCGTTCTTTTTTCGTCCTAGAAAAATCTTTTGACTTTCGTTAACAAATTCCAATTGCACTTTTTTCAATTTTCAACAATTTTTAAACTCCTTGAAAAGTCAAACACAACATTTGTATGGGACAAGAGGTAGTAATTGATTGATGTTTATTTGGAATGTTTCAAATATATTGTGTGATGATATTATATTTCCATTGAAGTTTGATGGGTGAGATTTGATTGATAATAACATTGCCTTTATGTTAGCCGGGATATGTTTAACAAACGGCAAGCACAGAGATGGTGGGCAGAGAATTATGATAAGGTCATGGAATTGTACAATGTGCAGAGGTTCAATCGCCCGGCCGCACCACTGCCAGCTTCTGATGTTGAGGTGAGTTTTTTTTAATTATAAAGATAATTAATCAGATTTAGACTCCGTTTGGCTGCAGGATCTGAGTTGGAGAATTTCCTGTAAAAAATGTGTTTACGAAGAATGTAGGAAGAACATTAAACTAAGATGAAAATAACCTTCTTGAGCATTACCCAAACGTGCCCCTAGGGAAAATTCTATCAGCATTCCTTTGTTATGGATTTTGAAGTGTGCATGACAACTTCTTACAGTCGGGCATTGTGAAACCTTTCGTGAGCTTACAATTACTATTGTGACCTTTTGGTTGAATTGATTTTTTAATGCATTTGCAACTTTTTACAACATTGCTTTAAAACAATTTTGTCTCCATCATCAGAACTCAAAAGTTGAAGGTGAGGAGGGGAGCCCAATGACCTCTTCCATAAGCAAGGAACACCCACGCCGGCATCCAACAAGAATGAGTCGAAACTCATCAGAATCGTTGGAACATGATTCACACCATCCTACCCCAAAGCTCGCCAGCATCATCAAAGCCGAAGCGTCGTCTTCAATTGATGCTTCTGGAAGGAGCAGCTGTCGCTCAGTGAGCAATGCTGGCAGTGAAGATGTCATGGAAACCGAATGGGTTGAGGAAGACGAGCCTGGAGTCTACATCACTATCAGAGCTTTGCCAGGTGGCTCTCGGGAGCTTAAGCGTGTTCGGTTCAGGTCAGTTCCTTGAGATTCCTCCATTCCCTTGCAACCCCAGTTTGTTGATTTCTTTGCACTTCCTGAGGTAAAAACCAAACACAAGAAAACAACTTTCCCTCGAACTATCTGTTATTGCTTCGTTCTCTAGCATATACCGTGATCCAAACACGGCCCTAGTCTCATGTCATGCTCTTTGTTGGGTTGGTTTCTTGAAACATAGAACGGAGTGTCAATAAGTTATATAAAACCAATGAAACGTTATAAACTTATGCAAAAAAAAAAGGTATGCCGAGAATGTGTGTTAAACGGATTCGTGTGTGTTTGGTGCAGCCGAGAAATATTCGGGGAAATGCATGCAAGATTGTGGTGGGAAGAGAACAGGGCTAGGATCCAACAGCAGTATTTATGAGATGCAGAGTTTTTTTTTCTTCTTCTTATACTTTCTTTTTCCCACAGATAGATTTATTTAGAGTTCTTTCATTTATAAGCTCTCTGGCCATTCTCTTGTTTTTAGGTAGATTATAAGGTTAAAATTACTTGTTTTTTTGGGGGGTTGCTTGGCATGTTGAAGTAGAAAATGCTGTGAAGATATCTTTTCAGTTTTTCATATATAGTCCATATATAAGAGAACACATTCTTTTACTTGATCAGAGTTTTAATCTTTCCCTAATACCTGTTTACACAATGATGGTTCACATTTTATTTGAGAATATTGACTGCTTCAATTACACTTTTTTTTGAATGAATTACACATTTGTTGGGGCTTTCATTGCAGGCATAAGATAAATACAAACTTATCCTTCATAAAATAGAGATTGTTTTTAGACCTTTAATGCATTTATTACTCAAAACTTCATAGAAGTAAGAAAGGAAGTTCATCAAGAAATTCTGAATTTATTCATTATTTATCCAAATTTAAAACTTTGTAAAGAATGACATTTTTTGCTCCATTAACACTGATGCATATATCTTCACAAAACTATTTTCACTTTATACCAGATAGATTTGGTTT